CTAACTGAATCAACTTGGTGAAGTATACTTTTGTTTATGATCCATAGCATCATTTCCACTCATCTTTCATTCTTATACTTCGCAAGGACTCTGCAGAACGGTTCTCCCGGGTCGGTTGAGAACTACTTCATATGCTCTCTACTAAGCTAGCGAATTTGAAATGCTTCCCAAAAGAGTACTGATGCATCAAATTAATTAGTGATGGCAGGGCGTCCCATTTTGAGTTGAATCTTCATTGTTCATGTTATTAAAACATTATGATCGATATTTATGGCACAAGGCTTTGTTTTTCTGGTTGATATGACATGAATGGTTTATCCTTTCGTTTTTTTTTTTTTGCTCAAACAGTGTTTTTCCAACTGTGTTCCATTTGATTCTTACAGAATTCTTCACATTACAGAAAGAATTGGCCCACAGGTCAATGCATCGATCCTATTCCGTGCCTGAGATCAGAGAAGATGGAACTGTATCCTTGCACGGTAATATTGATCATCTGATCCCGACCTCTCCACAAATGGGCCAAGAGATTGTTTTGACACCATGTAAATCACCAGCGTATGATAACGGTAAATTTATTATGTCATTTCGTGTTTTGTTTGGTCACATCAGCAAGATTCTTCTCCATTCTTTAAGCGCCATGGATGATCATGTGATCTCCACTCCTGGTTTTTGGGAGGGGAAGATATCTCCTCTGTTTTTCTTTAAACTTCAATTATCATTATATGCTTGATTTTCATGGTTCAGATAAAACCGTAGGCAGTAGTGAGCATTTTTCAGAAGAAGAAACCGTTTGTCGAATATGCTTGATTGAGCTCGGTAATGGTCCTGAGACGATCAAGATGGAATGTAACTGTAGGGGTGATCTTGCACTAGCTCACCAAGAATGTGCTATCAAATGGTTTAGCACTAAAGGTAACAGAATATGCGATGTGTGCAGACAAGAGGTTCGAAATCTCCCGGCTACACTCCCACGAGCGCACAGCGTGCAGTCGTACAACTTCCGAGGAAGGGGAATCCAGCCAGCTGATATTACTCAATACAGGCAAGTAAAACTTTTTCCCCACTGGAATGTGCAGGCATCCGAGATAATGATATCGGTTCTCTTAAAATTATGCATACAAAACTGCCAAATTTTGTTCGATTTTCCCAATTATCGGAAGATGAATTCCGTAAACTTTTCGGTTTATGTTGAAAACTGAACTTTTGTGTGAACATTCTGCAGGGTTTGGCAGGATGTTCCTTTTCTTGTTATCATCAACATGTTAGCTTACTTTGGTTTCCTAGAGCAACTTCTGGTATTTCTAGCACTTCTCTCCCCCTTATTCTTCCTATTTCTGTCCATTCATATTTCGGGGTCGGTGACGGACTGATGGTTGAACTAGTATAAATATAACATCAACATATGGGGCGTGTACTGTCGTTTTTCTGTTTGCTGCCGTTAGGGTTGCTAATACCGGTGCCTGTGCAGGCCAGTGATATGGGAGCGGGTGCTTTAGCTATTTCTCTTCCATTTTCTTGCATATTTGGTCTTCTTGCATCCATGACCGCAGCAACAATGGGTATGGCGAGACTCGTTTTTTGGAGTTGTCATTCGCTAGATATTTTCAGATTCTTGTTCTTGGTCATCGATTCATATTAATACTCTTGAAGTTTGTTGTCAGTGTGGAAGCAATATATATGGATTTACGCCACTATCCAGCTCGCTCTCGTGATCGCTTTTTCTCATGTTTTCTATACGAAGGTAACCGAAAACCGTAGCATTCTGATGGCATTGTGAAAAAGAGAGACATTATTGTTAGCAATCAAGTGATCAAGTTTCTCTGGATCAACAGCTTCACATGCAGGCCATTCTAGCTGTTCTTATCGCCACGTTTTCGGGCTTCGGAGTTACAATGACTTTAAGTTCCATGCTCGAGAAAATTCTTCGACAAACAAGAAGCTGGCTCGATCAATCAACTCAGCGTACTTTGTCAACAGAGCAACCAGATGGATCATCAACAATCAGGCATCGAGCCCAAGTAGATGCTCCACTTGATCCTCAACAGGGACCTGAGGAGCCGAGGCAGCCACGAACAGTACCCGCAACCTTGCATCGGGGCCAAACTGATCCTCCTAATGAGCAAGATGTTGAAATGGGAGCTTCAGAAGCCTTGCACCAGGGCTGACCCCATCCAGTGTGCCATGGACATTTAGTTTAGCTCTTTTATATAGCTTGCCAACCAGCAGTTCTTTCCCTTAGATTATATTGTATATGATTTTTCTTCGTGAGTAGAAAATAATGTATATATTTTTAAATTCTTTTTCAGAATTTATAATGTTATTTTATTTGTGAATGTTGAATTTAGTTAGGGAAAATAAACAACTTGGGATATTAGAAATCATTTTTGGGCACTTAAAATAAATAATAGAAAATATGTTAAAAAAAAAACACACACACATTTCGTTGTTGTATTTGTGTAAAAGTAATCATTTAAGTCTACAAACTTTAGTAGATTTATGCTCTTATTTGACAATTGTAACGTATTAATCTTAATAGTGAAAAATCTCATTAAATTGTTACAGAGTTTTTACATGATGGCTACTTCGATTTCACGTGTACATAAATGAAAGTACTGTATGTAGAAAATCAATGAGAGATGCTAATTTTTTACTGCACGGTAAATTCACAAGCACCTAAATTATTAGGTATAAGATTTATAAACTAAGGATTAAATGACATGATCTCTACTCCATATAGAGAGATCATATTTTAACCTAGAAAATAAATATAAGTCATTCTAGTTTACTAATATAAGTTAAATCAGTACAATTTATCATATTTTAACACCAAGTTCTTAGTGAAAAAATTTCCCCATCTTCGAGTGCTGGAATTTAAACAGAGATTCTCCATCTCAAGGGCTCCATCTCGTTGGAAAAATGAACATCCCTAATTTTGACTGGGACAAATAATAAAATATTTTGTCCAAAAGAAAAATATATCAAATAATATAAAATATTACATATTTTTTTATGGGAAAAAATAATTATTTCTAAAAAAATATTCTATTTTGAGGAAGTATAGAATATAGCAATCGTAACATTTTCAAGTTTATTTATTTTTTTCCAATTTACCATTTTTTTAATAAGATTTTCATAGCATTGTTGTTCTGAATTCTGATTGACTTGACATGGCTACTTTTTAAAAGGTCAACTTTGTTCTATTTTCTTTTTGTAATTTAACACAAAAAGGCAGACATCATTACACTATAATTTCTACAAATTAATTAATAATATTTTCTCTTAGAGAAAAAAAAAAAAGAAACTTTGTCCCCTTTTTCTCTTTTTGTGCATTTTCATATATAGATCTGCCTTTTCTGTTTTTGGGACTTTAAAAAAGTTGGGCTTCTCAAAAAACCCTTTTGAATTTAGGGCTGTCCTATAGACCATTGACCATTTTTCTATAGGGCTGTTTTAATTAATTACTTTGGATAAAGTAAAAATAAAAACTTTGGGCAAAGTCAAATGTGTAGGGGCTGCCTGCCCTAAGCAACTGCTTCCCTAGGAACAAAAGTGCCCTACAATCATACCTACGACCCTATACATTCTTGTGTCCATTTTAATTAATTCCAACATTGGTTTAAAATGAATAAAAATCTATTTATTTTCTCTTCAATTTGGGTCTTGAGATTCTCAATCTATAAACATTATTGGGAAACTCTCTAATCTAAGAACATATTTTATTTTCATTTGTTTTTGGTTGAATTTTCAAGAATCAGCATGTTAGCATATTTTATTTTTAGTTTTATATTTTTTAAAAGTAGGTTTGTTATTTATAATACCATTTGAAAACATATTAATGTTTATAAAAACTATATAACAAAACAAACTAAAGAAAGTATAAGATAAAATGACAAACCGAGTGTATATAGTTTAACTAGTTAAGACATTTATATCGAGCTGTAATAGATTGTGAGTTCGAATTCCCAGCTCCATATGTTGTACTTAAAAAAAATGGTAGGAAGAAGTAATGTTAGCGCTAAAAAAAAATGAAATGATTATTAAATGGGGCTAAAACGATTAGTTTTTAATAATTAAGATGATTATTATTATTATTATTATTTTGTTCTTACACTATTTTCTATTGGTATTTGGTAGTGTCGATTTTCTCAACTGTGTTATGTAAAAAATATTCTTCTTGAAGAACAAGAAACGAATTGAACTTCCAAGATTTGTCTCATTGATTACCTTCTCTCATGTGATGGAATTATCTTTGAAAATGACGAGAAGAGGTAATATATTATTTTTCTAATCCTTAATATATTTAAAGGTAATTTTCAACGTGAGGTTAGTTTGTCTGGTTGAAGAATCTATAGTTCGTGAATTCGAATCTCCACTCCAGTGTGTTTTGTTCAATAAAAAAGAAACAATATATTTCAACTGTAATTACGTGAAAGTAAATTTTTAACCTAATCCGTAATAACTTAACCATTATCAAATTTATTTTGACATATATAGTTAGGGTTTTGAAAGGGGGAAGAAATATATGTTAGAAGATATTTGCTAAAATTTCTTAAAGTTATAGGATTTATTATTCAATAAAGAAAAACTAGCTCTCAAGGCATTGAAAAAACAAGAAAATTTTCTTATTATTTGACGAAGTTTCTTTTTATATTGGGTAAAAAATCTACTTATTTATTAAATTTAACACAAACAAACTAAAACCTCCTTTTATTTATGAAAGAATAAGTTGGATTATTTAGATTCGAGGTCAAATTTTTTTCTTCTCACATTTTTATTTAATAATTGTTTTAAAATTAAAGGTGGGATAATAAGATACATGCCATGTAATTAATTAGCATTAAATTGCTCAAATTGCATTATTATTATTATTATTATCATTATTTTTCATTATCTTTCTTAGTTGATCCTGGTGGCTGCCGGCCGGATTAATTTGACCAGTAGTCAAATATATATGTATGTATGTATAAATAAATAAATTAGTTTTTTTCTGGCAGATGCAATAATTTGAAAGCGAAATTACGATAAATAAATTTTAAAAAAAGGGAAAAAAAAGGTTCAGAGGACAACATATAAAATAACAGGAAGAAAAAGAGTTACATGCATCACTCATTTTTTCTAACTTTTTTTCTGAATTAAATCTGTCAAACTTTAAACATTCACCGGTGGCCCCGCCGGCGGCCCCTCCTCTGACCGCTTCTTCCGCCGCCCTGCCCTGTTAAAATTCTGCTGCCCCTCGTTATCATTATTATTAAACAGTTTCTTAANAAAAAAACCATTTTATTTATGATCTTCTTTTTTTCACTGACCTTCAATATTTGGTTTAAACTTGATCGGAAAATTATGGGGTTTCAGTGGTTGGCGGCGAATTGGCTTAGCCCCATGGTTGAGTTTATGGCGGCGAACTTTGCCAGCTCCGGTGGGAGGAACGGTGGCCGGGGAGCTTCCCCTGATCCTCCCACGCCGAGGAAGTCTCGCGTTTGACCATTACTTCTCATTCCGTTATTACCTGTACCGTTAAGAATGTGAATAAAAGATTAAACAAGGTTACACAAAAGTCTATCATTTTAAAGTTTTTAAGTTTACCCCCTTAAATTTTTAGAATTAAGAGATTGTATACAAATCTTCTTAATTCTATCAATAATTCAATAGTTAAGATATTTCTATCACCTTCTTAAAAGGTCTTAATATTCTAATTTAGGATTGATGGAAATGCTACCAATATGAATAAAAGATTAAATTTACCGTTGGACAGTAAAACTTGGCTGAGGCAATTTGAACTCAAGTCGGAGCTCCCGACCATCTGCATTGAGTCGGCCATTGTCAGGCTCCTAGTTTTGTTGAGAGAGTTCAAGCTCACCGCATTAGAAGATGACGATGACGACGAAGAAGATGCCGACGACGACGAGCTCATTACTCCAAAACCGCCTGCTCCGAAGAGCGATGAGTTATTGTTGTTGCTCCTCGTTGAGCCCATAAGGGCAGCTTTCTGCAGAAGGGCAGTGGCCGACATCGGAGAAGAAGAAGAAACGACGGACTGAGAAGATTGACCCGATAATAACGCTGCCGCGGTAGCTTTCGACAAACTCGCCTTGTTCTCAACATCTTCCTTGTCAATCACCGGGAGCACTGAGAGCCCCGATATCCCGCTCTCGTTGATCGATCCAAAAAGATTGGAAGAAGAAGACGACGACCCGAAAAAGCTAGAAATGTTGTTGTTGTTGATCGCAGTTTCAGCAGAAGCTTGGTTCAACCAGAGGGACAAAGGGGATCTGTTCTTGTGTTGCTGATCTTCTAAATCTCTCAGAAAATCTGAATGGCTGAATTGGGAAAGCCCTGAAACGTCTCCAAGAGATTGAAGATTATTATGATTATGATTATTATTGTTATTATTATTGGAGTGAGGATCAACGAGAGATTGGTGAGGATCTTGTTGATGAAGAAGAATTGAATCGTTTCTGAGATTATTGAGAATATTTGTTGCAGAAACTGTTGTGATTCTTGCACTTTCTTCAGCTAAGGCATCGCAAAATGCTCTGTGGGTTATGAAGCTATCTTTCCTGTAAAAGAAAATTTTAAAAAAAATCCAGCATTTAATTGTGTATCCAATCATTGACATTTTTGTTGCATTTTAATTTCTGGGTCAGAGAAATAATCACCATTAATTACTTTTGTCTTTATAATAAGAGCTTAAAAAGTAGAAAAAATCATCAATTTTCTTGTTTTGAGTAGTTTTTCAAAGTTTTGAGTTCGTGGGAAGAGAAAAAAAATAATTATGATTCAGAAACGTATTTAATTTCAAATATTGATTGATTAATCTATAATACTATACTATTTGTGAAACTGGTTCGACGAATTCGTTAATTTGAATATAGTACGAGCTCAAACAGTGAAAAGAGGTACTGTTTGGACGGTGAGAAAATGATTCTGGCAAAAGAAAAATGAGAGAGAAAATTAACCTGGAAAAAAGTGTTCCACAATCGCACTTATATTCTCTTGTCCCACAAGTTTTGGAGTGAGCTTTCCAATCAGATTGAACAGCATATTTCTTGGAACACTTATCGCATTTCCACTTCTTCTCGCCGTGTTTCCGGCTGAAGTGTTTCTTTATTCCGGTGAGGTCGCCAAGGGCCCGCGACGGGTCGTGGTGGACGCACGTCTTCTCCGGGCAGATATACACCTTCTTCTTGATCGGCTCCTTGTTTGTCCGCTGCCGCAGCTTCCACGGCAGGTTGTGCCCTCGTCGGTGAAGCTGCAGGTTCTGATCTCTCTGAAACCCCTTGTTGCATATTTCGCAGATGAATCTGTTCGTCGCCATGAGAGACTTAGGCGATAGAGCGATGACCTCCGCATCCGGATCTGCAACGACAACCGAAAAAACAACAAAAATTATATAAATCCAAACCCTTTTCAATTAAACCAGAAGATCGATCAAGATCAAGAAGCTGATTCTCACCTGGGTTTCCGGGGAGGTTTCTCTTCTTCTTCGCCGCAGCGGAGGGTTTCGGTTTAGAGTTAGGGTCAGGGTTTGCATCTTGTTGTGGAGCGAACGCGGTCGGTGCCGAAGAGAGAAGAGAAAAGGGATTACTTGACATGGTTTTTTTTTCTTTCTTTCTTATTTAGGAGGTGATTGAAGATGGTATGGACAAGAACAAACAAGTAAAGACCAAGGGATTTTTAAAGTTTACTTTTTTCTTGCAGAGGAAAGAGCTAAAAAAAACTTGGTTTTTTTGGTTATGTGTAAGAATTTGATGAAGAAGGTGGTGGGGGGGACTAGGGTTCTGCCAAAAGACAGTAAAAACCAAAGTCGAAGACTTTGAATCTGAACAAAAGACCTTGAACTTGAAGGAGAAAAAATTTATATATGAAAAATGAGAGCTTTCCAGATCATGGAAGTGTTTCTAATGGAGAGATCTGGTTTTTCCCTCTTTTGTTTGCTTTTAAGAAAACACCAAAAACCAACATCTTTTGCCTCCAAGAATATCTCTTCCTCTTCTCTCTCTCTCTCTTCTCTCTCTTGTCTATACACGTGGTTTTGTAACCAGAATGTATACAGTTCTTCCTCTTTTTTGCTACCTTTTTAAGCTCAAACTCCAAAGACTATAATACTTTTTTTTTCCCATGTTTTGTATCTCCGTAATCGGGACTTATTGTTTGGACTGAACAACACTGTGACTAGTACAGGACTCGAACTCAATATCTTATGGTAGATGGTACCACAAGACAAGACCTTGCCACTGTGCCATTCCAGGGACCCAATAGACTATAATTCTTTTTTTTTTTCCGACATTGTGGATCTCTGTAATTGAGATTTATTGCCTTCGTTGAGCAACACAGTGATCATACAAGGTTCGAACTTGATATTTCAGATAGGTGATACCACAAGACCCAAGAACCTTGCCACCGCACCATTTCAAGACCCAATGGACTATAATTCAACTCTTCAATGGAGAAGATGGACCCTTTTCTCCATTTGATTTATTCAAAACTTTTATCATATTATATATATGTTATGTATGTATCATCAGTGTCTTCTTTTTTATTATTTTCTTTAATAGAGATGCAAACTTACTGACTACACCAACTCTTATGCTTGTACCAACTTTTGTATCTATATGGAGTTGTTGTTTGACTTATTGTTTTTATTAAGTTTAGGTTTGAAAAACATGGATTTGTGTAGCTTGGGTTTAATTGTGATAAAAATTTAAAATTGGGAATTAATTGTGTTCATTATGTTTGTGTTAATACACAAATCCAATTCATTATATCACACACTTGTCATCAACAAATGTTCTAATTCACTCATCAACAACTAGTACTTGGTTTGTCTTTTCCCACAACAATTATGAAAACAACTCAACATAAAAGAGAGATATTTACTCCCCTCAAAAAGACTTTATACACATTAAAACCCAAAAGTTTGTTTTTTTACAACAAAAAAAAAGACCAAAACGTCCCTTTTATTCATTCTAGTCCTTTTAACTTTGAGATTTAATTTCATTTTGCTCCATATATATTAAAATAACATCTGTTTTTATCCGGGTACTTTCAACAATTTTAACTTATTTTAATCCTTCTGTACTTTTAAAAATCAACTAGTTTAGTCCATATTTGTCTATACACAGGATAAACCCTTTAATATATAAATTTATGGTTATCCATTTCAAAAAACTCATACTAAAATCATGATAGAAATAAATAAGAGAATACTGAAAACAAACGAGAAGAGACCACCCAAAATAATCACGGTTAAAAGTATATAAATCAAAATCAGACATTTTTAGAACATGAAAAATAAAATAAACTAAATTTAAAAGGCAGAAATCAAAATAATAAGTTGATCTAAAATACTAAAAAAAGTTGAAAAAAGTGGAAGTACCTAATCTACCTAGAAGTAAGAGAGTTACAGTAGTGACTGTAAAAAGGTGGTGCGATGGGATTGATTCACCCAAAGCCAAGTAAGTTATTTTTTTAGAATTTTGTAAAGTTTTCTGTGTAAAAAGAAAAAGAAAAAAAGGTAATATTTGAAAAGTGAATTGGCTTTTATGGGGGTGGATCTGGGAAGGAATGATTAAGTCATAATTAAAGGTAATTTTGGGCATTGTGGTCTCAGTCTCAGTACAGAAAAAATATTATCAGACAGAGGAGAGAGAAACAAAAGAAAACCAGACCAGACAGAGGAGAGAGAGAGTTTTGAAAAGTTTTACGTTTCCCAATTTTCACACAACCGTCCGTGATACCCTTACTTGTCTCTATCTATTTTGTAATCACTCGCAATTCTCTGTTTCTTTTCTTTCTTTTTTAATTCTTTCATGCAACCTTTCATTTGGGTGTGGTTCGTGTTGTTGTTGAATTGGATGGAGTTGAATCGGTTCGGATCGATTTGAGCGTCGTAATTATGGGATTAGATTGATGTGTACGGTGTTTGTTTTTCGAGGGGTTATGTTGTTGAATTTGTGATGAATTTGAACCGGTTTGGTTCGGGTCGGGTTGAGAATCATAATCATGAGATTAGATTGATGTGTACCGTGTTTGTTTTTCGAGTGGACGAGATTGAATAAATTCATTTCGTTTTATGGGTTTTGATTGATTCATTTTTTTAGTTCATCAATTATATGGAGTAGAAGATTGAACTATTGACCTTGAGCCTTGTATCGATTGGCATAAGGGTTGAGGGTTAAATTTGACATTTTCTCCAATTGTCGGTTTAGAATAATTTTTGAAAAATTAACATAAATAAATATGTATTTAGAGAAATATTATTACTTTTTTTTAATGCATGTACGATGATATTCATTACTCATACTATTTGATAGTAATGTTTTTTTAGTTATTTTCTTAAAGAAATGGTGGAAGATTTGAACTTATGATTTTTTGATTAAAGAAAGATGTTAATTATCGTTGAACTAAGTTCACGTTGACAACAAAATATCTTAATATGATGCAACTTTAAAGCAAAGCAATATGAAAACTAATGTTCACTGAACTAAATATGGTGAAATTATAGCTCTTAATATATAAAATTTGAAAATCATCCTTATTTGATCTAAATTTTTGAAATTTTAACTACATGCTCAAATAAACACAAAAAGAATTAAAAAAAAAATCCATATTCATGACTCATTCAGTATTTTAGTGAATAAAAGTATTTATTATAATATTCAAAGTTCAATAATTCGATTTCACCCTGCAATGTAATTCTTGAACCAGACCCAAAAATAAGAACAAAACACTAATAATAACTCAAAATTTATGTTAACATTAATGTTCTATTAACGATGTTAACAACATAAACAGACAGGGAATCATGCAGACTAAAATTATTTGAAATTCATAAACTGAATAGATACAATATTATGTATTATTCTAAAGTTTAAGATTAAAATTTTAATTAAACGTTCACAAAAAAAAAATAATAATAATAATTCTATACAAAATAGAGAGAGAAATGAAGCATTTTTTTGTCTGTTTTCCCTCGGATTTTTCTTCAAACAACTTATGCTTTCCCCATCCCTATTTTTGGTATCCAATGCTCTCTCTCTCCTCTCTCTCTTTCTCTCTCTAACACATGCAATGCACGTAGTACTGTATTAGAAAGACACAAAACCCCATGTTTCTCTCTCTAGTTTCTCTCTCCTGTTTCTCTCTCTGCATAATAAGAGAATGAGCCCTAAATATATATGTCCGACCAGATAAGGACACAATTCTTCTACAAATTATTGTTGCATGGATGAGAGAGATAGACACAGAAATCAGATGAATAGAGAGAGAGAGGAAAAAAACACATACATTCCCATTATGCCCTTCTCCTCTAGAGAGAGAACAGTTTGATTATGCCATTTTCTTAACTTAACCGCACGTTGGTTTATTTGTTCTTTTGAAATTATGAAATATATATAAATGTAAGACGGAGTTTTTGAGATTTTTTAAATGGCAAAACCAACCTTCTATTTATATTCTTTGCAATCTAGCTCATGTTCATTATAAGCTTCAATATCGTGGTTTCTTTAACTCATCGATCTTGATCGGATTCTATTTTTTGACCGGATGTACGTTTGAGCATTTTGGACTCTCATACCATATTAACATTCATGTAGTTTCATCTCAAAACTAATTAGCGTCGAGGTCTATTATAAATAAACCTTGTTAGGTCTCTTATCTTATCAATGTAAGATCATTAATTAACCGATATTGTTATTATTTATTTGAGTTTAATAATTGTAGTATGCAGTAGTGGATGCAGGGTTTTTATATATGTCGGGGACAATATCGTATAAATTTACACGAAAAAAATATCCTTAAAGTTGGAAACTTTTATCCTAATTAAACCTTCAATTTTATCAAATTGCATATTAAACTTCGATAAGGATGGTAATCCTCATCTTAAACATTTTAGAGTGTTCAAATTTTATTCTCAAATAGATTTTCTTTTGAAAATCTGTTGAAAAAGCTATTCTCAATTATAAAATATATATTCAGTGTGAAATTGATATAATTCAAACAAAAACGACATTAGATTTAGCTTTTTAGTTTTTTTGTTTTCTGTTAGGTATAAGTTTCACGAGAGTTATTTCAGAATCAATTATGTACCTTAATCAAAATGGAAAGTTTATGCTGAAAATTAATGTAATTTTTCTAGTTTAGAGGGAAAAGGTGTTTTTTCTAATTATTATAAACATTCATATTAATGTCTTGTAAATAATGAGATTTGTGGATCGGAGGAGGCAATGGAGCTTAGAAAGGTGCACGTTGTTGGGTTTGGCAAAATATTGGAATTGAAGTTTATCCCATGCTGGAAAGACACAAAGAAAGAGTGTGCTCACCAAGTAGTAGAAGTTATCTCATCAGAAAGTTACAAGGAGGAAGTGTGTTCTAACTACTATAAAATGAACTCATAGGCTTGAATTTTAATCATACTAATTGAAATACTCTCTAGTATACCGACTCTAGTTAACTGAATGGTATTTGCTTTGAAAGAGTGTTTTATGTACTTAGGGTCGAGAAGAGAAATATGTGTGATTGTAATAATTTTTCACATGATAGTGAATTTTTACTTGTGGGCCCGTGGTTTTTTGTCTGGTTTGGAGTTTTTCCATCACACGTAAGCCAAAAGAACCAATCCGCCTCTAGTTGTGTGGGGATCGAACGATCAACCTATAAAATTGTAAATAATAATAAGTGTCGTAGCTACTAAATTATGCTTGACACATTTTTTAGAAAATTGTTTAAAGGGGCTATTTATTTAATATTAATAGAAGAACAACGTTGTATACTAGCCACGCATTCAATAACTTTTCAAATATATGGTAGGTTTTAATTATATTCTTTTTTTTATATGTGTTCCCAATAAAATAAAATAAAATGGTGTTTTTAATTTTCAATTACACCCTAATATTTTTTCTTTTTTTATTTCTTTTGGTACTTAAGGATTTCACTTAATTCTAATTACAACAATATTATTGATAGTTTTGACACTAATTGAACTTTAGAATTAGGAATATTGTAATTTCAATGCTGTTTTTTCCTTCAATCGATTCATAAATTTCTAATTAACCATTTCATCATTTTTAAAACTTCAATTAAAATATATTTAGGAATGTGCACATGGTTAGAAGTGACAAAAAATTTTAGGTTATTTGTACAATAGATCTCCATTGAAATTAAACTTTTTTTTTTCAGCGGATTACAAAACGTAAAATAGCTTTTTTTTTAGTTCAATAATCAGGAGGATGAGAAATCGAACTATTGACAATATCATATAATAAAATTATGGAGATTCAAAAAGGGACCCATTGTCGTAATATCATCGAAAAGTTGCTATACAATACGCCCAATGTGAAGGAAACATCGTCGATACATTAAACTTTTCACACATCGTCGTCAATTAATATGTCAAAATTTTATGTTATAAGATGATGTCATTAATATGTGTTATTTCAAATTCTTTTAGTACAACAAATTGAGGGTACAGAGGTTTGAACTTCTAACCTCAAACGAAGAAATAGATGTCATTTACCTTTGAGCTCGTGTTGGCATGTCTCATTTTGATATGGCCGATCTTCTTTGTACTGTTTCCGCTATTTCAAGTCATTCAAAATTTTTAACCATCAGGGTAGCTCATTGGTCAAAAAGAGCTAGGGTAATTAATTTAAAGGAAACGAGTTCAAATATTGTAGAGTCGGATGGCTGCCTCATAAGATTAGTCGATGTGCACGTAAGCTGGGTCCCTAGGATGGTGCATTGTCTAGCGCTTGAAGCCTTGGGGTACCACCTACCTTGAGGTCTCAAGTTCAAGCTCTACGCTAATCACAGTATTGCTCAGCCCAAACAGGGTGCCCCGATTATTGGGATCCACACAACATCAATTTCGAAAAATGTTAAAAACAGAAAAAGAAAAAAAAAAGAAATGAACCAAAGTTTAATTAGAATGGATATTTGAAAACATGTAACAAAATGAGCCAAGACAAAAAAGTGGCAAAATTGTCTTTCCCAACTACCATGTCAACTTGACCATGTTGACAAATTATATTATTAAATATAAGAATTGTTGATGGCTTAGGGTTTTGAAAGTATATATAAAGGAAGTATATGGATTAAAAACATTATTTACTTTCATTTTCCAAAGATTATATTCTTAAAACATAGGGTTTAACGTTACTTCGGCCATGAATTAATGATAAATAATCCAAGCCCTTTGGTTTCAACCATAAACCCATATAGAATGTTGTTTTGTCCTCAGCTAAAAAAAATGCTTCCATTTGCTATTACAAAAGACTTCAACAAGTCTATTTCAAATCCTCCATGTGCTCTTATTAAATAAATGATCTCTTTATTTTTTTAAATAACTAACTTTCGGTCGGGTTTATTAATTTTATTAGTCCAAAAAGATAGGCAGGTTAGGTTAAGATTGATATACAATTTATTAAGATACATTAATTGCGTCAATCGACATGTTATTTACTGATTAATGAAAAATTAGTCTATACGATATTCATCTTGAAAGGGAGAGAAAGTGACGTTATTGAGAAAATGAACACAATATTTGATCCGATGTGCTATCGAACATGGTTTGGATAGAGATGCTTTTGTTTTGTTTTGTTTTGTTTTATTTATTTACTTATTATTATTATTATTATTATTATTTGACGTAGAATTATGAAGATTGGACATTATTGAATAATGCATCTAAATTGAACATGAAAAATCCAAGAGGAAAAGGACATAAAATGGAATCAAATGGCCAAGTTGGGTTTAATTATTATATCTTAACTTAGTATCTTGTTCAGATCTGCCTTTTTTATAACTAAATCAAATTTATTTATCACAAATAAATAAATATATATTATTTATGCTATATATATACTGAAAGATTTAGTGGTAATTTTTATTAAAAAAAATTTAGAGATGTCCAGAAAAGGTTTCTACAAATGTTCATACGAGGGGTGGTTTTTTTTTTTTAATTTATGTTCATAAGAAAGTTGAATAAAAGAAACACATTTTCTTACTAGTCGTGGATTCAATAGAACAATTTTCTTCTTTTCATACAAGTAAGAGAATTACACCTATGCATATGAAAATAAGAAAGCTCTCTTAAATAAAAACTAGTTTAATTAATTTAATATATTGTCGTGATTCTTAATTTACAAATAGGAGCGATATTGACTCCTATGTATAATAGGAGTAAAACCCTATAAATTATTTGGGAGGGACCAAATTTTGGATAAAATAAGATTTATTTGAGCATCATTCAGAAATTATTGCTTTTATTATTTTTTTTACCAAATTTCATGGAATAAATATTTTGAAATTTAGAACTTAGGGATCAAACTCATAAATAGAAATATAATTAATTAAATCTTGTCATTTTTTCTAATTTTTTTTAATTAGAAATCTTGAGAAACATGAAAGATAAGGCATGAAATTAGTTTGAAAAGCTCGGTCTCCCATGGTGTCTAATCTTTGTCACTTCATTCTAGTAGGCGCTATCCCCACCAAGAAAATGGAAAAAAAAAATTAAATTAAATTAAAAAGTAGTCAACTAAACTTTGCAATTTGGCCCGACGTAATCGATAATTATTGAATCAAACATAAATATAATACCCATAACCTCCTAAAAAGTCTAAAGTTCGAATCTACACTTCACACTTTAAACTCCAAAAAAATAAAATAAAAAATCTCACATTTCGATCAATCCCAGCCGATCCAATGACAGTATCTCTACACTCGTCTGGGAAGATCAGAAGGCAACAACTACATTCTATATATGAATAAGTAACCTCATTACCACTCTACGTTCTATATATGAATAAATGCCTAAAAGTATGTACCTTAGTCTTTCTATATCTTTCTATATATATGAATAGAAGGAAAAAGTATTCTATCCGATCCGTATCTGATCAGAGTCTAACTCGTACATAGGAGCTAAAATATCCAGTGTTCAAATTTTAACAATGCACGAATGCAACATTCAAGAATCAAGCAACATAACGCATGAAAAAGGTTCGTGCAAGCAGGCCTCGACACTCATGGATGTCATTAAAAAAAATCAAGCAACATAACCAGGATATGACAACACAGAATAAGTTGAGTGTAAAATGAATATGACATACATTCTCCTCCAAGGGCAGAACCAGATAATGTTGCTAAATACAGATATTCCACAAAACAAGAAGATTTTCCCCATTGTCTGATCACTTCTTCAACACACTGCAGAGGAAGCAAACTCAATTATAACTTCAAAATGATTTTCCAATGGTTAACAAAAAGAAACAACAATTTCGATAAATAATTGCATGATATGATATTATAATATCTAGAGTAAAGGTGTGGATTGTAACAGAACCTGATAGAAACCAAATAACCAAAATAGTATTGAAATATAAAATATAGAATGAAACTATAACTCCCAAGTAATTCAAGGTACTCAACTGCCTACCTTCATCGCCTCTCACTCCCTCTATTTACAACCAATTCCTTAGCTAATTACTAATATGTCCCTAACAACATTCTGAACTTTATCCTAATGGTGGTATTCCAGACACAGTACTACTTCCACGTTCCATAATAGATTTCAGTTGCACTGCCCTATAACACTGCCTAATTTGAGGTACATATAATTTATTGGGATATATGGATGGGAGACCTGTTAAGACCTTGTCAATTGTCATAGCCGATATGGGATTGTGTGGGCATTACCAATCTCAAGGTCATTCCCCAGGATAATATTGTAATTCCCAATCACCATCACCTCCAAAAGAGGAAGCCCCATTGATTGCACATTTGACAAGAAGCCAAGCCTATCAATTTTTCAATTAACCAATCCCTCCAAAGAACCAGCCCCAGACTTAGCATTTCTTTCCTAATCCCTTCTTGTTGGACAATATTATGAGTGACTTAATCCAAGAACAGCATCGCTTTATTGATGATGAAAAAAACGAAATAATGGGAAGACAGGAAAAAAAAAAGGAAATGTGAGAGGGAGAGAGAGAAGAAGAAGAAAAACAAGAAAGGAAGTGGAGCAATTCTTTTTCCTGGCAACATGAATCTAACTATAGATGCATCAATATGTCATATTTAATTTGGTGATGGAAATAGCAAACACAACACATGACAGAATTAAAAAATGATTCAGAAATGCTGAATGATTTTCAGTATACTTTTTCTTCAGGAAACAGTGAGGTAGAATATAGGAACTTACTTGTATAGATAGGCAGCAATACCCAAGATTATACACAACAAAACAATATCAATACAGAAATTTCTGCTGGACCTTAGCTGTAGCAAATAAAACTCATTTTAGATTAACTAACAAACGTCTTACACAAATACATATAGATGTAGGCACTGTGTGCATATAGGAGGGCAAACACACATGCACACAGGAATATACACTTCAGAAACTGATGATAAATACTAAATAATAGAGAAATAAGCAAGACCTGATTAACTGTGTGCTTTAATCTAACATTGGTGTTCTTAAGGTCAGATGCAGCCTTGTCCACCTGATTAGATTCAAACGGCACATTTGAGGATGATTATAAATATGAACACTGAACTGCAAGGAAATATATACATTTATGCAATGTATATCTAAAACTATCTAAATATATGGAGATATCCTCACCTTAGTGTCAATCTCGTCCATCAAAGGAACTTGCCTATCTATTTCCTACAAACCGCACACCGCAATCACAGTTAACTACTAGGATGATCAGTAAGGAAGAAAAACTGGAGCATAGAAGATAAATAACCTCATTCATATCATGAGCCATGTTCTTCAGAGTATCCAACCCTTCTGATATCATGTCCAATCCTTGATCCTGTATGTGCCAAATTGAAGGGTTTAAACCAGAACCATAGACAAGTAAGCATGAAATCTTCATTCTGAAATAGAGGGAACTACACTAGGATACATATAACTTACCTGTTTCATTTTCCGCATTTCATACTCTTGCCTGAACTGACTTGACTCCTCGGTGTGTTGGAAGTATTCATCATCGAATCGTCCATCTTTTATCAATTCAAACATGTACATCAAAGATATTATCAATTTATGGAATCCACAGCTAAATGTAGCAAGTATCACAGAAATGGTTGAACAAATATTCAAAAGAATTGATGAATCACCTGAGTCAAATTTTATATCAGTACGTGAAGCTGAGGATGTCCAACCCCCAGTCTTCTTGGTTGCAGTGGTAGTCCCATCTGGTATAGCTTGAATCCTATCCGGCAATGCAAGCACCAAATCATTTCGAGTAGTAAGATCTTCCGTTGATAGCCCTTTTACCTATAAATATGTGACCATCAGATGCAATATATAGGTAGAAGTTAAAAAATTCAAATCCGGTGGAGTATAAAAATTCCAAAATCATCCTAAATGCGTAATGAATTTATGGAACCAATCTTTTAATCAATTCATATGAAATACCTAGGTTTTAAGATGGAATTTGAGTAACGAGTGCGAAAGTTCGAAATAAATTCACCCATGATAAGAACAAAAACAGTAAAGACAGCGAATACAAACCCTCTTCACGGCCAATCTCTGCAACTTGGGGACCTCCTCCAGTAATCGAGCCTTAGTACGACGAATCTCCGCATTCAACGCCACCACCGATGCCCTATTCTTCTCTTTGGAAGCATCCTCCGCTTTCTGCACAACCAAAAAGACTCCCAAAATAGAACCAATCCTCCTTGCTGGAATTAAAATACTAAATCATACACAGATTACTCAAAACCATGAGTTATCCACTGAATTAAACCTAGATCGAGGAATATGATAACCTTCAGTACCCTACTCAAGTCAAAACTGAGAAATTAACTAAGGGATCAGAATCAAACCTGGAGAGCGGCTTCAATGTCGGCTTCGACGGTTGCATAGAGTCGAGCGAAGGCGTCGTCGCCGGAGACATTGAGATCCCTCTGCTTCTCTACATCGTACTTGTCATACTTCTGGCAGATCGCGTCTACTCTGGTCAAAAGGTCGATCACGCTCATCTTGATTCTTCGCCTCCGTGCTCCGGCCGGTTTTCCGGTGACCTACGGTCTCTTCAGAAACTGTGCCAGTAGCATCCACCGCTGTCAGAACAAAATTTCCTCCGATTGTCTTCAAAAGAAACTTCACAAATAAGAAAATTGTATTTTACATATCTACCAGTACAGCATTATTCCCTTAATCAATTAAATAAATTTAATTGATGATAGATTAGTTTCTGCCAAATCTCAAAACGGGCGGCCCAAATTTCCGAAGCCCACAGCTATTGGGCCCATTTCTTCTTTGGGCCGGAAAAGAAGTTAAAAAAAGAAATATATAGGGGCATTCCGAGAATTGAACTCGGGACCTCTCGCACCCTAAGCGAGAATCATACCACTAGACCAAATGCCCAATTTGTGAAAATTTCAAATATAATATTATAAATCATCTAATTGTAAGATGAAGAAAGTATTTATATGTCTCAACCCGAAGGGTTCATAGAACAAGATCAAGAGCAAAAGGTTTGCAAGCTTAAACGGACCATATATGAACTCAAACAAGTATCTTGATCTTGGAACTTAAGGTTCGATACTGCGATCAAATCTTATGGTTTTGACCAAAACGTTGATGAGCCTTGTGTATACAAGAAGATCGTCAACAACATCGTAGCCTTCTTAGTATTGTACGTGAATGATATCCTACTCATTGGGAATGATGTAGGATACCTCACTGACATAAAGAAGGGGCTAGCGACTGAGTTCCAAATGAAGGATTTGGGAGAAGCTCAATATGTTCTTGGCATCCAAATCCTAAGGGATCGCAAGAACAGAACGTTAGCCCTGTCTCAAGCAACTTATATCGACAAAATGCTGCTCGATATTCGATGCAGAATTCCAAGAAAGGTTTATTACACTTCAGGCATGGAACTCATCTGTCTAAGGAACAATGTCCTAAGACACCTCAAGAAGTTGAGGATATGAGACGTATACCCTATGCTTCAGCAGTGGGCAGCTTAATCTACGCTATGTTGTGCACTAGGCCTGACATTTACTATGCGGTAGGGATAGCCAGTAGGTACCAATCCAACCCAGGATATGATCACTAGACTGCTGTTAAGGGAATCCTCAAGTATCTTAGGAGAACGAGGGACTACAAGCTCGTGT